GCAGCTTCTTCATTCGTCACGCAACAATATTGAAAGTAAAATTGTTTTTATGTTCATGGATTTCCCTCCTACCGGCCCATTCGTCGCATGCCACCTGCACATCTGCCGCCAATGTCGGTTCTGGGCAGGTTCAGGGTAGACTTGCTAGCCGCTAGCCGAACTCACAAAAATCAACATAAATAAATAAACAAATAAATAAATGTATATATATATATATTTATGTATACACATACAGTACAAGCCAGTTGCCGGTAGAAAAGGTCTAGATTAAGTTAGTTCACTTCACTGCCCGACATATTGAAACTCTCAAAGTTTGCTTTGAATCATTGACCTGCCTCCGGCCAACCACTGAGAAACATATTAGCAAATGTATTGGTGTGCGTAACTTGCTAGAGTTATAGAAAGATATACTGTAGAAAGGGAAGTTGGCAGGTGCCTGTTTGGATTGTTATAAAACATGTTTGTCTCCAAACTGTGAGTGTTGCAGCCAATAGTCTTGCCCCATCTCAAGTGTCAAAAAACATAAATTCCTTTATATATACAACAATGTAAACACCCGATGAACGATCCCCCGTCCTGCTAGTTTGGTCTGCCTTGTTCCTGCAATATTAACCACCTTTCAACAGCCTAGTTTTGGTTTCCGCTTTGTGAAAAGAACTACGTAGTCGTATGGCCTCTCCTCATGAAGATTTAGCTTTTGGGATCGCATGATTGCCCCCCACCGACCCCTAATGAATAAGCCTCCCCCACTGCCTCCCCCTTCTCAATGTTTCTGCTCTTCAAGAATTTTGCCCACCCCCACCTAAATACACAAATAGCAGATCTTCTAGGGGTGACTGGGAGGCCTTTACGTTGTCCATGTCCAAAGCCGCTAGAAAAAGAACCGGTGATACATCCCTACACAAAGTCCTTTTTTCCCGCAAGCACCTGCATCAGCATCAGCATCAGCATCAGCATCATCATCATCATCATCACCATCATCATCAAAATGCAGAGATGCAGGTGATGCAAGTGCGTTAACATATCTACATAGATACAGTTTGAAATATATAATACAGGTGACCTACACAACTACATTTTTCAATTGTTCATAATTTTTCTCTTAAAAGGCCGGGGTGGCCCGCGCGATGCTCATGAAACGCGCCCCTTTGCCTACATTGCGCGTGTCCGACCCAGTAAACTGCGGTTAGATGCAAAAAATGTCTTGGCCGTGGGACGAATCTCTGCGGGGATCGTTACGCATCGAGCGCTGAAACGTGAAATGAATGCGAATTTGTGTTGTCCTTGTGGGGTCCTTGGTGTGCGCTATAAGTTGCGACGATCATGCACATCGAGTCGAGTGTTCAAAAGTGAAACGCATGAAATGCGACTTTATGATCTTTGTGGATCTTTGTGGTGAGCTTGGTAAATTTGCGGGGTCGCGCCTGAGGTGGCATGTCGAATTTGTGGTCCTGTGGAAGGCGCCAACGTGTGCAACTGCCATCGAAAACCAGAGTGTGCAACTGTCATCAAAAATCAGGTGGAAGTTGTCGAAGTGTGTCACCGTCGCCGAAAGGCAAAGTGGAGGTGCCAAACAACAACTGTCGTGCAAAATCAAGGTGCACACTGCCTTGTCGGAAGTGCATAACTGTCATCGAACATCAAGGAAGTATACAAATATTCAAGTAGCGGCTGGGAGCTCGGGCTCAAAACTTGCAACGTGGCAGTTGCAACTGGCAACTTTGTAGCGCAACTGCGGCAGTGCAAGAAGTAGGTTGTGGGAGCTCGCCTCAGAATTGAAAATGTAGTAATTACGGCAAACGGCTGCTTGGAGGTCTGCAGCGCTTCATGAAGCATGTGGCACACAGTGACGTCTGCAGCGTCTCTGTGCCATGTGGTTTTCTGCAAGAAAGTCCGTTTGCGTGGCTCCGTGCCATTCGGGAAAGGGAAACAGGCGTCGCGCTGCTTTGCTGCGTCAACGGGCCTCGTTGACGTGATTGGCGGTGTCAACGAGGCTTGGTGCTGTTACATTAATTGTGGTATCTAGTCTGGCACACTGTGTGGGGAAAATGCGACTGTGATGTCGCTGTTCCGTGCGGCTTGGCACGGCCTCGGCGGAAAGTGCCTCTTCATTGGCTCCGTGCCATTGGGGAACGGGAAACATACGTGTGTAAACGCGGTGTGTCGCTGGTGAGCGGATGTGAGCGGGATGTTTTCTGAATTCTGGTGGCAGCGAGGCTTGGTGTTATATACATTGTTGTATCTAGCGTGTGGCACTCAGTGTGTGGACATGACGTCTGTGATGTCGCTGTGCCACGCAGTTTTTTGTGCGGCCTCGGTGGAAATGCGACATGCGTGTGTAAACGCGGCACGTCGCTAGTGAGCAGGATCATTGGCGGTGTCAACAAGTCTTGGTGTGGGGTGCACGGTGCACGGTGTAGTGAAGTGACATTTGTGATGTCGCGGTCTGTGCCGCGGCTTTGCGTGGCATAGCGTGTGCACTCAGAAGTTTGCCCGTATTATGAGCGGCACTGCTGACTGACTACTTTCAATTGGTCACATCTCCTGCGTGCTCAGTGTGCAAACAAAAGTGTCCGCAGCGCACTGCGAAGATCCTTTCAATGACTGCGGTAAGTCCCACAAAAGCGGTGCAAAAGGTCGTGCTACTGTGCGCATTGCAGTGCACCCATGGGTCCGGTCAACAATCACCTAGGCCACAGTGACCGACTGCGACTGGCTCTGACAGGATGACTAATTCTGTCTGCACCTGGCGCCCTACTCTTCTCAGTGTGCGAACAGCAGTTGTCTGCAGCACACTTCTTCCAAGACTGCGTTCGAAGAGAACGTCGTGCCGCTTGATTGGGGTACTGTATCATTCTTGGGCACCTGTGCCAATGCCTGTTTGTTTCTGTCATGCTGAATTACTATCATCATCATCTTGGTCCTCATCATCGTTACCTTCTTTCATCTTCTGCTGTGCTTGCAGGCCACACTGGCGTCCTTTTCTACTTGCTTATTACGACCTTCAGACCTTCCGTTCTATGCTTATATACTTTTGGTGGCCCCATTACGAACCCCAAATTTCTGCTTCTTGTGCCTCGAACTGTACTCGAAAACTGAGGTGGATGCTGCAAGGGACAGGAGCTGGTACTTGTCGGAAGCACGCGAACCTGGGCAAGCTTTGTCTTGCTCCCACAACCCGCTCGAATTAAGGAGAAGCAAAGAAATCCTGGATGGACAAAATGTAGATGTACCATATAGACACGTACAGCATTGAGGACAAGCTTTCTTTCTCTATGTGAGGCGAGCGTGCTATGTCCTGCAAAAAAGTGAAAGAAGTCTTCAACTCTGAAGTGCTCTAATTAACTTACTGTATATAGATGTCCCGAGCTGGCCCTTGGACACCGCACCAAACTGCAAGGAAGCATTTCATGGCACCCCTTCAGGGTGAGTAGCCGCTCGGAAAGCGATGTGCCCCTGCTACATAAATGGGGTTTCTTGCTGAAACCATTTGCTGCATGTAAACTGCATGAAATGTCCTCCTCGTTCAGTCCATTCCACTGGTTGAGCTCCAACGCTTGCAATCAGTTACCGCATTTCAAGACTGTTGCTCCCCCTTGCTCCAGTACATCTCACTTTCAGCAGTTCAGGGAGCTCGTGAGCCGAATCACGACCGACAATGTTCACATGCAAGGAAAGGAAGGAGGGAAGGAAGAGCTGCTAGACAGGGTTCTCCTCTGAATTCAGCAGACATCAGTACACGCTTCAGCTAAACTTTTCTCCATCAGCATTGTCGAAGCTCCTTTGCAAACTACCTGCTGCAATCCAGCACGACCAACAAAAAAACGCCGGTAAATGCCGCAACTATTTTGAAGATGTCTTGGTTAAAGCGAATCCATGCAGGACATCACAAAACACCAGTATTAGTAATTTAGTAAAGTGCCGACTGTGACAAATACATCCTTGGTGCTTCGGCAGCAGCTCCTGAATACCACTTCTCGTGGCAAGTATGCGGTAAATTCGGCACGACCCTCAGGGAGTTGCCACAGTGCTTTCCAAAGGCTTGCATCTCAAGTTCTCAAAACAAAGAAATGCTCCAGTTCCATTGGGCGGGACAATCGTGGAAGCAGCACCATGGACCAAGGCAAAGCCGTGGTGCACCAAATTCAGCACACGAGCAAGCAACTACTATGAGAGTGTGGATCAGGATGAAGTCAGCAACTACCATGGACCCCGACCCACAAATAGATACATACATATATATATATACTTACTGATATATAGATATATTATAGTCTGCGCATGTCTGCGCTGGGTTGTGTCCTCAAACCTTTTCCACACACACACCGTCGTCCCAGCAACGGGAAAGCTCCTGCAGCCAGGAAGCAAAGGACAACTTCCCAGCTTGACAGCAGCTCGTGCGCAGGCACTCAGCCGGCTCTGATGTGAGATCGAACAGAAAATCATGTGAAATAGTGTGTCGCTATGTGTCGCTTGATCAGTTGACTTGATCATTGGCACATGCTTGTCCTCCTCACCCTTCTGAAAAAGTCGGATAGAATTAGTCCCTTTCCCAAAATGCCGGCCCTGTTTGAGTTCTGAGGGTTGGGGATCAGAAAATAATGTCCCTCAAGAAAAACCTGCCCAGGAAACATCAGGAAACCTGCCCCGCGGCAAAACAAGTTCTTTTCCTCAGAAAGGGTGCAGGTCATAAGCATTAAATTGCACATGGTGTGTGTGTGTGTTTTGGATGATCTCTACATGCTTCAAAAACAAATGTCATTGGATGGTGTCAATGGGGGTTCGTGTGCAAAATATCAGCCTGGCCGAGTTGTCCTTCTAAGATGGAGTCGCCAAGTACAACTCAACACCGCAACGGCTTCTGCTCCCGCACAGTCTCAGGTGGTCGAAAGTCTTTTCCAACCAACCCGAGGATCTTGCGGGCTTCATTGATCAAGGCATCTGAGAGCAGGGCCTACCCGGGCCTACATACTTCTCATCTTCCTAAGGTGTAATGTGGGCCGTGTGGCTTTTTGGTGCATGGTCACATTCTGGCCTGCATAATGTTCCTACAGCGTACTGTAATGCTAAATTGCTCCAGTTTCTTTCCTCTCTCTTTTACTGTCCCTGGTTTGCCAGTTGCAGTGCAAACCTCACAAGTCGAAAAGCTTGGCCTCGACAGTACCTTCGTTGCAACTGGCTGTTGGGAAAAACGGTAGAGATCGGAAATTCAAGTCTCGGATACGAAATGTCAAATTTTATATGTGTGGTGTGAGTGTGTGTGTGTGTGCTACAGCATGTCATCATCAGCATATATCAATATATACAGTATATATATTTCTATGATTCAATGGCATTGTGGGCAACAATGCACGTCTGTCAAATCTGGAGGGAAAGCCCGGATGAAATCCTCATCCTACAAGAGCAAGTCTAATTCGCCCAAGTCTGAAAAGCACTGAAGGCATCTGGGCGACCTGACACGAGGACATCAGGAGCACTTTCAGGAGCATCACGGAGCTGGGACGACCACAACGCCTGTGTCCTGAGAGAAGAAAACACATGCGTCGACTGGTCAAAGAGATGTCTTGGAGTGATGTCTTGGAGCGACCTCGCGGGTATGGATTGTAGACATTTATGGTTATGTGTACTCTGGTGCCAATACCGATGCACCGATTAGTCCTCCTAATTATCTTCTATATGGGTGTAACTATCTTGTTTTAACCTTCCCGCGCCGTAATATTTGACTATGGGGCATATGCTTCGGGGCATGCTTCGCCAAAGTCAAATATCCCAACTCTACTAATAAACTGGGCACATTAAAAGAAATCAAGCCAATATATTATATGTCACATACCTATAAGTCTGAGTTTAAATGCTCTTCCGACTCTAGTGAGCGTGTGCCGTGTGTTTGATCCTGTCTTAAACATCTCCACTCACTCTGCGCAACACCTGTGTCTATTCTTGAACAAGTTGAATAACTGACCATTCATGGAACATCATCAATATGATCAGATTGGGTTCAATGCGCGCCATGTCGTCGGACACGGTCCGTGTCAACTCTTTTGCCACACTCTATTGCACTCCTTCCCTAGCATTATCCCAATGAGTCAGCCAAGCCTGCCGCACCAATGCTCCAGAGGGCTGGCACAATTCAACCCACCCCGAATCAAGACTTGGGAAGGTGACATGAAGCATGTTGAAGCGTCAAAGTATGGGATGCCGAAGGATGCCCACAGACTCCACTAAACACGCCCGCTGGATGCTGGATTTGAAACTCTCTGTCTCTCTTTGCCTGCCGCACTAGCACGCCGGAGCCCTGCAATGTTGCGTAGGAGCATATAAGTCTGTCTCGCAAAAATGTGGTCTCAGTCAAACGATTCAAACACCAACTCTGTGAGACAAGGTACAAAACCTTTGTGCACCTTGCTTGGGCCCTGCTTGATTCCTTGTCTGTGTGGCAGTACCACAACACATATTGCAGTGTTAAGCTTTGTAGAAACAACAGCTGGCTTTGCAACTCCTACACCGCTTGAGAAGAGTATTCATCAAGCACAGCTTTGCCCCTTCACCCGTGGCCTGTCGCATGCCCTGGCAAAATGACAGTTCTGCAAGTTGAAGCGTTGTTGAACGCCCACAGGGAGTTACATTACCCCGGGGCAAACTGACAACGCTGAAATGGACATGCTTTTTTGTGTGTCAACAAGGTCGTGGAGCCATACATTGGTATTCGAAACTTGCCTCATGGGCTTGGTGGTTGCGAGAGGGAATGCTAGCAAAGCCTTTTATGTATGTTATATATGATTATATATGCATAATGTCCAGCCATGTCCAGCCATTCTATATATCTTGCCCTAAAAGCAGCTCTTGCCTGAAGTGACGGCTGCCGACTTACAGCAGGTGGCGGAATTGGATTTGAAGCGTCAGAGGCCCTCCTGGGTGCTCGCGTGAAAATTACGCCGCAGGGGTGGCCACAAAATGGGATGGATGGCATTGGATGGCAGCGTGTATGTCGCGCATAGTTACCAGCTTTACCTCGTTGTATTTTCATCCGGCCCACTGCGGGCGGTTTACTGGAACCAAAGAATTATATAAAAATAAACAAAACAACTTAAAAGCAACGACAAAACTCACAAATCATGGCAATCATCTTGAAGCTCGGGGGGCACCCCGTGAAAAGCAATGTAGCAAACAGGGTCCAATGGCATTCTTGCCACACACGTGTAGTAACAAACGTCTTGGATCTGCCTTTAAATCCTCTGATTGCAACTCGGCCATGCAAACCTTTTGCCTTGACTGTCTGTCAATTTGGTGCCAAGAAAGCTGCGAGTTCATGCCACCGGGACTGACTGGTGGCACGTCGCCATATCCTGGCCGTGTTGTGGGCGTCAGCACTTATGACCTATGATCACATAAACATGATGCTTCCACTCTAGATCCCAAATCGAACAGCTATGCTCCAACAATCGAACAGGTGTGCTCCAACAGTTGTGCTCGACAGCTGTCCAAAGCTCAACTTCAGGGTTCGTTAAGTTTCCCTGATTAGTGCCAGCGCTTCTTCGAGGAAGCTCCCCAACGCCCTTAGGCGGGGTTCCTTGAAGAAGCGTGAGCTATCCTGCGTCCAGTTACTAGAAGCGAACTAGTCGCCCTTACTTAATTAAGTAGGGAGGCAGGGCCTCAGGCAAAAAGAAGAACACACAATTTCTTGGTGGCTGCGTGGCCACGCCCAAAGGTCGCAAGGGTTGCCAGAAGGGCGAGAGTTGGCCTCGACATTGAAAATTCGCGTAAACTCCATGGACTTGGACAAACTGTTCGTGTGACGAAAGTGTCGGGAAGTGAAGTCCGAAACGAATCTGATGCACTGGTCCGATGAGGTAAAAGATTGTAAAAGCACAGGGTCAAGCAAATTCAAACTGTCAGAGTCCATATTCTCCGCGTGTTCGTGTGCTCTGGGCTTGATGCATACTGTGGAGGAGGGTCATTAGCACAGCACATCCTCAGATGCACAAGCTCAAGGACATTTGTTCAAGCTAATCAATGGGTTTTGATAATCTGCATGGATCGTGCAGTGTGCATTTGATACAAGCTAGTCAGCTAGTCAACTAGCAGGAAGGAAGCACAAACTCTACCTTGGGCGTCAGCATCAACCACAGTCGGTGCCAACTGAAACCTGTCAGTTGACCACTGGTCATGTTCACCAAACACAGAAGCAATATGAAGCAATGATATGTTGTATACATGCGTGTGTATGAATATGTATGAATACTATTTCTTGTTGCACTAGCATCCTTGCCTGGCTGATCCTGGCTATACACATAAAGACACATAGATACCGGCTTCAGTTAAAATGTGATTGCAATTGCCACAGAATCATCCGACTCTGGCCTCCTGACGGTACAGGCTCAAAATCACTGGCTCTGTTGGGAGAGTTTGGGTCCCTGTCTTTGAGGAAAAGCTCCTGGGCTCACAAGTTGCGGAAGTCAAAACCAAAACACCGATCCCACTCCTCACCCTGGTCTTAGTGGTAACACTCCCTTCAATCGCAAAACACAATTCTACGTGCGCAAAGAACCTGCCCTGAGTGCACTGCTCTCTGCTTCTTCGATGGACCTCAGGCCCGAAGCACTTAGGCGGCTTGGCTTCGTACCCACCATCTCCACCCCCTGCCCGGCCCCACACACAGCATCTCCCCATGACCCAAGAAGGACACTATCAGCCGCTTTATTTCAGCCAAGACACTAAGAGTACCCAAAGGTGGAGACTCGACTGAGACCTGGGCACGGTGCCAACAGTGGCAAAGGAACAAATGAAGGCGATTAATAATTGAAGAGAATTTAAATTAGCAATACAGATTACCATTAGCGATGGCCTCCACCCCACTAGCGATGGCCTTCACCCTGCTGGCGATGGCCTCCAAGCCTCCAACCTAATAGCAATGGCCTCCACCCTACTAGTGATGACCTCCACCCTAATAGCGATGGCCTCCAACCTAACAGCAATGGCCTAATAATTGGCCTAATAGCGATGAATATATTAATTGAAGTTGTTGCATGTGCCTCAGCCAACCTCCCCACCGTTCCCAACCTCGGTGCCTTTGAAGCTCTGCTTGGCCGCCTCAGCTTCAAAAGCAACCCCCCCTTTCTTTCGCAGCAGGTTTCTTTCCAATGTGTATTTCGATACAAAGAAGCATGGCCGTCTGAAAGCTTGGACAATTGTGCAGGTGTCTCACAGGCCCATTTCCGCTGAGGCAGAAGCGTTTGAAATGGCTTCCAACCGGCGAGCGCTGCACTGGAGGTAGCACATGCCGATTGCCAAAGCTGCAACGACCACAAGGAGAAAAAGTCCAAACCTGGAAACTGCTTGCAACATCTTTCAACAACATTTAAAGAGTTGAGTTGGATGAACATGAGAGGGAGGAAAAGGTAAGGGCCGCTTTAATAAGAGCCCCCTCTAAAAGGAGCCCTTGTTAAAGGTGCCTCTCCTTTTCATGCTGGTGTCCAGTAAACCTCTCGGTCGCCGTCCCGGCCGTCCCCAAACTGCACATACAAACAAACATCACTTTTAAAGCTCCACAAATTTGTCGGTTCAATCCGCTACAAGTAGTTGCTGGGTTTTGAGCGACTGTTGGCCGCCACTCATTGAACTATGTGCCAATGGCATGTAATTTCATTTGAGGTCATCTAATGAGTGTAAGAGATCAACAAAAATAAAAATATAATCAAACAAATACAGTATTCAACGGGGATGAGTAAAAAAATAGAAAGGGAATCAAACAACATATTCCACAATACTGAGGATGGTTGGGGTAGTAGTAGCAGTAGCAGTAGCAGGACTAGGAGACCAAGGGAAGAGGATGGAAGGAGTAGGGGACTAGGAGAGCGTACCTCCCTAGGAGCTCCTTCCTAGTAGGAGCTATTTCTACTGGTGAACCATTTTTCGAGTAGGGCTACTCGATGACTGGACGGGTACCATCATTGGGTACCTACTTTCCTCCCAGGGAGCTGCCTCTAGTAGAAAGCAATCAAGCCTCTATTTGCGCAAGCAGGGGACCAGGAGACCGAAAGACGAGCGGAGTAGGAGAGCAAGAGACCAGCGGACCAGGAGACAGAAGGACCTGGATAGCAGGGGAACAGCGGACCACAGGACCAGAGGACCAGGAGACCGGAGGACTAGGGGACCAGTGGAGGGACCAGGGGACCAAAGGACCAGGGACCTTATTACCAGAGGACCCGCAGACCACAGGGCCAGGAGAGCAGCTGAAGAGGCCTATCAAGGAATATGTTTTTTGATTCGCTTTTTATTTTTATTTTGATCCCCTTCTTATTGTTTCTTAAATGCGTGTTTTATTTTTTTAATACCTATGCCATCTAATGACATCTAATTGAGTCAGGCAAGTTTGGGCTTCGGAGTTTGGCCGAGCTGCCCTGAAAAGCCAGAAGATTGGGAAGGAGGCGCTGCGGAGGCAACCTTCAAAGTAAACATGCTCGCCAGCCTGTCTGTGTCAAACACATGTACAGTATTTGGTCCAATGGTGCCGTGCTTCAAAGTTCGTGAATCTCACTGAGAACGAGACTGCATCATTTTGGTACACATCCTCAAGCTCGTTTATCCACCCACCCACTGGAACGTGAGTGATAGGGTCACGTTTGGCCAAGAACTTACCAAATTTCCGTGAATCTGACTGGCTGGAACACGAGCAAGAGACTTCTTGCAAGAACTGCTGCAAACTGGCTCTGTCTATGTCAAGACACCAGTCTTCTAATGGCCCAGTACGCACTACCTCAGAGCTTCAGTGTCTGGAGGAGTGTCAGGAATGCTTGCTTTGGCAAAGCCTCTGTCGGCAGAAGCGCGTCAGGTCTCGGTCTAGGCTTTCTTACGACATCCCTCTTTGCCAAGCTGCTAAAAGCACTTGGTTTGGAGCGAACATAATCTTCGCATTGCATATGAGTCCATCCACAGTAGCCATTAAAGGAAGCACCAGCATAGTCGCCTTGTGTGAGCCAATCACGCAAGAGGTGATCAAAAATTGGTTTGAAATGTGTTTCCACGCGATTCTGAGATGCGGTGTTTCAAGCATGATGTGATGTCTATTGAGCCACAAATTGCTAAAAGGATTTAAAAGGGGGTCTCTGATTGTGTCAAACTAGACGGCACCAAATTGTACATAGCGTGTCCAAGAAATTGATAAATGGCTCAATCAAAACAAATCGGCTGAAGGTGGGCCAAATGAAATGCGCTGTTCAAGAAGAGCTGCCACAAAAGGTGGTGTCGAAAACCATACGCATGTTCTTGAAGTGGGCTGCCGTGCACCTGAGTGACAGGGGCCCGCTGGCCTGTTCAGGCATCTATTACACCAATCGCTTTGGCACAAACCGAAAACCACGAGTGTGCTCACGCTCGGCCTACGGCCTACAATGTAGGAAAAAACGGTCCACCACTCACTTGCGACGACACTTTTCACATCACGTGCGACGACACACGCACACAGTTCTCTATATGATCTAAGGGTGGCCAGTTCTCTGCGATCTGACGTTGGCCATCGATGACAAGCTGAAAGTAGTGGGTGGGTGGGTGGGTGGGTGGTGATCTAATGGAATGGTTGGCCCACAGCTGCATCATCACATCTTACGGTAGCAAAATGAACCGCGGGGAGCACGCAAATGCCTACGCACAAGCATCACCAGCATCATCATGGGTGTGGTGGTGTGGTGTGTGTGTGTGTGTCCACACCTGTGCCTAAGGTTTTGAGTCATAAAGAACGCTACTAGGGCCCCTGGTTTTGCAACTAAGGGCTCCTGGTATCGCTACTAACTTACAGTTTCTCAACGCAGAAAAAGAGGCAGGGGGACACAGCATTTCACTGGCACTGTGTCCAACGAAGCTACCAGTGAAATGGGATATCCAGCTTGGCCAGCTGGACGTACCTGGTCAAGTTTTAATCAGGTCTAGGTGTTTCTTGCCGTGTAGCTTCAAAAAACAGTGTTCAAACACCTTCAACTCCGCTGACTCGTCGCCTTTCTGTTTGCACTTTTTTCAGTCAAGGTCTAATGCGTGTAAAGTGGAACTTCGTACTGATACTAGCTCTTGTGAGCAACAATCAAAGTGTGTTTTCGCCACAGGGTCCCACTGAGGGCTGTGGTGTGATCCCCGTCAAGCGGCGCCGCATGTGCACAGACCCAGATCCTGGGGGAATCCTACTGAATGTCCGTTCTGCAATCCGCACGATACCACTGATTCTATGGCGCAGGGCTTACTGTGATCTACATTCTGGATTTGCACCATCATGGAAACATGCGTCTAAGTATTCACAGGCGGGTTTTTGCACTGTGCTTTTGTTACGTGTGTTTTTCATGCTCTTCGGTTCTTTCTCCTTTTGTTGCTTTTTGTTTCTTGGGGCCTTTCTTTAGGTTCCTGGTGTCTTTCAGACAAGGGGTGCGCCGGCCCAAATCGGCTTTACTTGAATGCCAATGATGGCAAGGCCTACGGGCCACCCAAACCCACCCTCCCCCCTACCTCCCTGCCCCTGGGCCTCGGTTGCTATCCCACCCATTATTCGGGAAACGGACGGAAACCGCACTCAACACACTTGTGTGTTGGTGCCTTTCCTTCTGTTTCTCCTACTCTATTGCTAGCTACCCGGGCGGTTTAAGACAAAATGTCCCGCTCGCGTTCTACTTTCATTAACTAAATGGGCCTCGTAACTACACCTATATTTCCTTCTTGCCCTCTTAGTCTGCTTTTGTTTTGTTTGCTTTTTCTGTCTTTCTAAGGCTTTTTAGGTTGCTAGTAGTCTTCACAAAAAGCGCCAATATTGGAGCTATGTGCACAAAGTTTTGCGACCGGCGGACGCCGACGACGCTACTAGGGGCTTCTGGCCTCGCTACCAGGAGCTAGGACGGTACTACCAGGACCTCTGACCTTTCTACAGGGTGTAAGGACGCTACTAGCGACTCCTGGCCACGCTACTAAACTGCAAGCAAGGGTCAGTGCGCCGAGTACGGCTTCGTGTGTGTGTCCACACCTGTGCCTAAGGTTTTGAGTCATAAAGAACGCTACTAGGGCCCCTGGTTTTGCTACTAAGGGCTCCTGGTATCGCTACTAACTTACAGTTTCTCAACGCAGAAAAAGAGGCAGGGGGACACAGCATTTCACTGGGACTGTGTCCAACGAAGCTACCAGTGAAATGGGATATCCAGCTTGGCCAGCTGGACGTACCTGCTCAAGTTTTAATCATGTCTGTCTAGGTGCTTCTTGCCGTGTAGCTTCAAAAAAACAGTGTTCAAACACCTTCAACTCCGCTGTCTCGTCGCCTTTCTGTGTGCACTTGTTCAGTCAAGGTCTAATGCGTGCAAAGTGGAACTTCGTACTGATACTAGCTCTTGCGAGCAACAATCAAAGTGTGTGCTAGTACACAGTACGGGCAAATCGGCGTCACAAGCGACGAGAAAATCTACGTCACAAGCGACGCTATTTTCGGCGTCATAAGCGAGAGCCTCACCGGAAAAGATGCTAGCAAAGTGAAAGTGGGACATAAAAGCATTGCTGAAGTTGCATAGACTCAAATCACCCATGAGCAAATCCAGAAATGCGTGTCTAAGGAAGATCGTAACTGTTTTACCAAAATAGCTGACCGTCTCTATTTTTGAGGTGCCCAAACCGTAGAACCATTCCCAAACGGAAAAGATCGAGAGCAAATTTCTCCTCTCAAATCTTAGTGGCCTGTGCAGACTTTCCACACATTTGAAGAATCCTTCTCTTCTTACACTCCAGGCAAAGGGACAAATGATTCCAGTGAACAATGCGCATTATAGTTTGGTATCTGTCTCTGTTCTTCTCTCTGGCTGGATTTGTTTATGAGCATTTCTTTGCACAAGGCACACGGACTGCCATGTCAATGCAAATGTGGCCGCAGAATAAATGTACATAAATTGAAACATATCTATACTGTAGAGATACAAATGTTACTGAATATTCATGAGCTGTGTCATTACCAAACTCAAATACACTACTGTATCTGTTATGAGGGGGCCCTATCTCGCTTAGACTACTAGGAGGTCATGTCACAGTATCTCATTCAAACTACTTTAGTGTCATCAAAGCATATCGTCTATGAGTGGGTGCCCCTATCTTGTTCGCCAGCAAAAACTGATGTTGGACAAACAAATAGTCAAATAGAGCATGCCATAGACTGCTTTAGTAAAAAATCTCTAGTTAAAAATTAACACACGTCTTCCAAGTTGTTGCTCACATTGTTAATTACAATTGAAATCAATTGAACGTATACGAAACATTACTTGACCTCCGTCATTCATTTGCTTTCATCACTTCAAACATATGCAGGCGGTTGAAAGTTTACAGTTGAAAGGTAGAAGTCCATTCATGAAAAGGCTGATCTGGGAAATCAATACTCGAACACTCAAGCAACAAAAATCGCTAGCAAATTCATCTCCAAGATGCGTGTTGCATTTGGGCCAGGGACAATCTGAACAATAATTATGGGACCGGGAGTTGTTCTAAGTTCCTTTCCCGAATGCTATTCTTTCCCTACCTCTTTGTGAACCTTTCGTCATCTGCTTTTGTGGACACTGTAGGCACTGTGGGCATTTACTCTTCGCTGACCTTTTGCCACTTTCAAGTGAATCTTCCTGTGTCATGTCCATCCCCACCCTGGAACACTCCACTATCTTCGGTACGAGCATGGTGGCTAAGTCACATCAATCGGATTATGTCACATCATCCCAATGGTACGGCCTGAAAAGTTGGAAGTCACATCAGGGGCCCGAAAGTCACATCAGAAAATGGACTTCTGCATGGCACAGCCACTAACAGCTACCATGAGAAGTTTTGTATGAACAACAGCAAACATTGCACACAACGGTAAATCCTGACACATTCTGACTTGTTCGAATGAAATTGGAAGGCAAATCACATTGGCACAGCCAGTATTGGACCTTTCCACATATTTTTTGGAAAAACGTAGCCCCTATTGGCACAAGCACAAGAAGATGCTCATGATTTTCCAAGGTAAGATCTAAAACCCAATGGCACGCCAGCAGACAACCACTTATCTTAGTATAGATCACAATCCGCCTTGGACAACTTCTGTGCAGCGATGGCACCACCGTTCGTTCAAGGTGAAGAAAGAGTTGGGCACGCCCCAAAGATCCGGTTCGGGGTGATCGCCAATCTCCGGCTCCTCCCCGGCGGGGAAGAACCAGGTGCGGAGCCGCTTGTTCACCTAGGCAGGAGGTGAGCACCGCACCCCATGCCAACCCGACTCTACATACATCATCCTCCATCTGCTTCCACAACAATCTCCAATATACAGTGCATATATATATATACAGTATATGCATATACAATCATATACAGTATATACACCACACACGGTATAGTAAAATATATATAGTAGTATCTATGGTGCAGTGGCTAAAGGCATCCAGGCAGCAATTGGATCCCACTCTGCAATGAAGGTACCACCTTTCAAGCTGCTTTCCAAACCAACATACACACTTTCACTGTCTGCTGAAAACACATAAGAAGATGCATCATTGCAACCTACGTTTTTCGTTCGTGTCACGATGATGGGATGGGGTGCATGCTGCCGCAAAGAGCAGGAAGCAGCAGTTGACATCATCTCTGGCATTGCTGGAGAGATGTGTTGTTTGGATCATGTGGACGAGGGAATTTAACCGTTTCAAATCACCACCCGTACTAAAATGCATTGCTTGGAATCTGCAGCGGCAACTGTTGAAAGAACCGCCTCCTGCTCGATTGAAGGCCGGGCCAAAGGAGCCTTTCGGAAGCTTCTGTCCACACCCTTGATTGTCATACTGTTGGGGAGCTTTCACCTCGGAGGCGTTCTTCTGGGCACCACTACGTCAGGGAAGTGGGTGTGGGTCAACACCCTGGGACCCTGGTTGACTCCCGAACGATACTCGCGTTCGATGTCCTTGCATCACCCTGAACAGCCCTTCAGCAAAAACGTGTGCTGGGTGTTTGGAACATATGAACAAAGCAAAGGAAAAAGGTTTGCGTCCAGTTCAACTTGTCCCGGAAATAATACACAAAAAAACACTATATAATAACTTTATAACCACCAACAACACCCCAAGCAAAAAAGAAAAGGACCAACACCATCCAATAGAAAATATCACACCAACCTGGTGCACCCGTGCAGAAGGATGCCAGTGAGTTCCACACTATTGACAGTTTATATAAACATGTATTCCATTATATTCCTTCGTGGAGTCGTCGACAAAGTTGAAACAACCAGCATGTTTGAGAAGAGAATGGGATTGAATAGACTCCGCACCAGGGATGTCAACCTAGAACAGTCTTTTGTACTCACACGCGCTCAACTCCGCAGCGTACACACTCCTTGGTGATTTAGGGGCTAGGTGCATTTGGACCAAATAACTGAAACAAAGCGGACACAAACACAGGCTTGTGCAAAGATATATAGGTAACACACAGTATTTCGCAGGCCTACGGAAAGGAACTATCGGCAGTCAACAAGAAACCTCCATGAACTCCTTACGGACGTTAGATATAGAGCTGCCATTCACGCTCGCGTATGCTCGTTCCAGCTAAGCATGATAATTCTGAGCAAAAAAACGCTATAGACTATATGACTATAGAAGTTCTAGAATCTAGAAGCAATATAACCAGGGCACGGAACCATTCCTCCCGGTACAGATTCCCACAAGCAAAGGAGAAAGCAAATGTCAACGTGCGCACACACATGCACATACATGCCAAGGAGCCCAACAGTTCTTAGCCTTCTGGTTGCCGTCTGTGCCAGCTGCCCAGCCCTGGCCAACGAAGTCAATGCCTTCATTTACGGCTCGCCTTGGTCACAAAAGGTGAAACAGTCACAAAGTCATAGATTCAAATAACTACACGAACAAAAACGACTTCACCAGCCAATCAAACCATCAAAACCTGCCTGCTGCCTGCCAGTGACAGGCTGCAAACATTATCCGAGCTCCTACAGGAAGTCTTCAAGCACAGCCCAATGCAGAATCAGTTACTGGTCGCAGCTTTCACGCGTGTGCAGAGTTGTGGTAGCCTTAGAATAACAAGCATTTCGAGCCACTTCCAACCCTCCCGAGGTGAATGAAGATTGTGCATCGATATTGTTGTTACCATCGTGCCCTTGCAACGAAGTTTGCACCGTTGAGTATATAAAGAGGTCAGCACAATTTGAACTGCCTTTGGGATGCTTGAGTTGCGATCCACTGAGTGTGGTGGCATGCTCTTCAACTGCTGATGAATGTGGTTTTCTGGATTAGGTCAAAGTTGCCTTAGACCGGGCACAAACACATCAAATCACAAATATTTTAAGGGGAAGCTTAGCTTCGCAAACTAAATGATAAGTCTTCAAGTCGTGTGTGTGTGTATGGGCAGACATGGCAGACCCGAGCCGGAGCGAAACTACATCTTATCCAGCACTTGATGAGGTTCCGCAGGGTTCACCCATACCTGCCATTGCTCGGTTGCAAGCATGTTACAATGTCTCCCACTACCCCCGACTAATTACTGCAAAGATTTGGTGTGCTGCATCACGGCAGCAGCCTCGGGATTATGAGAAAAAAACTGCATGCGGCCAAAAGTCGTAGTCCAGCATATGAATCGACTCCTGGGTGACACACGACTGCCGCGGGCCTCTGTCCTTCAACACCTAGCAAGAGTGATGCTCCTGGTCTCCTCATATTGCCTCCCTCCGTCTTATGTGTAAATCCTTGTGCATCTGGTTTGTCAGGCCCAACCATGTTGGCTTGAGAGGAGTTTGTCGGTGTTCACACTTTGATTCCTGGTCTCGGGCATCCTCCTGACACCAGACTGACTTCCAAAGTGAAGCCAGTGAAGCCACAAAAACAAGGCGACGGATCCCCAAATCAGTTACTGTAACAAGTCTCACCTGAAATCCAAGTAGCCTAATTGCATCTATTTGCCTTCAAACGCCAAGGATCTAGAATGTCGAACTCTCCCCAACGTGGCCATGAGTGCTGCGCATCATCTCCAAACATCCAAAAGGCCGGCCAAGCTCCGCAAGCTGTTGGAACATGGTCCAGTTTCAATACAAACAGGCCACCATTGTAGCCTCAAAGGTCCAGAGCTGGTACGAACGCTTGAAAACCCTGTTGTCCATACGCAGGTCCGGATTACCGAGCATATGGTAGTCTTCGAATGTCCACATGATGCTATTTGTTCCTAGTAGTAAGGCCAGGAGCCCCTAGCGTCCTTGCTCCTAGTAGCGCATTGAATGAACTCCAAGCAGCTTTTCTTGGATTCGATTCTCACCGCAGGTCGCCCAGCCTTTCCTTCGAGCACTGTGGTGTTGTCGACCATGACAAGGATTTTATCCTTGGTGTCGGCTATAAACCATCATGGCTCATGGCATCTCATGACTCCTTTGTGCGGAAAGCTCCTTGCTTTATTCAGCACTGGACCTACATATCACTCGCTCAAAATAGAAGTGTTGGCAAAAAGCTGCAGCTATCAATGTCTCCGCATACAAAACGACAACTGTGCCGCATTCAAGAACAGGGACCGGAAGTCACTACTGTAAAGCAGGCTTACCTGGCATCTCCGAAGGAAAAGAATAAGAATGCAATTCTCCTCCAAGTAGCAGAGGTGCTGGAAATCAGCTTCTTGTCCTGCGCTTCCCAGTACGGCACAAAGTCCACCTAAGTAGCCCCTCCCATACACGCCCTCGAGAGCCGTCACAGGATAAGCTAAGTGCTCAAGAGGCATTGCCCAGCTAACGCGTTTTAACAGCGCACGATTGCATCACAGTTATGGGAACCCCGGCAGTGCCATGCGTGGGATCAGGTCCACTGTAAAAATTCCATGAGTCAAAGAAGTTCTGCCCCACAAGGCTCTCCACCTTGTGGTACCTGTCAGGTCATGCAACGCTGATGTTTCTGCACGTGTCATCGCTCGATCTCTATCTTGCTTCCTTGTCTTTCACACGCCCGAACTGAACTACCTCCTCGACTCCTCGACGAAAAAAACAGGTTTCTTGAGCATGACATGCCGGAGCCAAATTGTTTGAACTTCTGGCTCTTTTCAGGTCAGAGGATAAGAAATGAAGGCTTGCACAGTTTTAGCTTCGCTTGCAACAACAGCCCGTGGATATGGAGGTTTTGGATCATTACTTGTGATTCCAGTATCTCATTAGCATAGAGCCGAGGTGGTTTTGCTGGCAATATTTTCTTGCTTGTGTCAGAAAACAGCAGCCGGCCTGTCAAGGGCTGCAAAGCCGATACGTAGAAAAAGGAAGCAAACTGGCCAGGCTGATTCGGATTTCAGGAGTGCAAAGCGAATTGCAAAGCGCCAGCCACATCTGAAAAGTAAGTTACTGTTTACAAATACAATTGACAAAACCATGCATGTGGACTGCTTTGCCATTCAAGTTTCCGCAAGTTTCTGCTGTTCAGATTGGCAGTCAGCACCCAGAGGGCACGAAAGAGGCCTGCTAAGCGAACCATCGTGCTCCCTGCTCCGATGCCCTTGGGTTCCTTTTCAATGCATTTGGTCTTTGCCAAATGATCTGAGCTTGGGCCAGAAAAAGTGCACACCGGTGGTCGTGAAGCTTCCAAACACGACTGGCAAAAGGCAAGGCTACTCAGGCCCCACAGCATATTTCGTATCCGGAAAATAAGAAAGTATGACACACCATTGATTTCTGCCTACTTCGGCACCAAGAACCAGTGACTTGAAGCTGCAGTACCGGTCCTTTTTGGCGACACCGAAGGCTAAGCTTGCGGTCACAATTGAGTGCTATAAGTTGAAGTGTCTTCATATAGACTCGTCGTTTGCTTTCTAAGAGTCATAAATACAGAAAAAAAATCCAAACCCGCGTTGTGACATGCGTGAGGATCGGCATGTTGAGAAACATGATCATTTCAAACAATTGCTTCGCCGGGATTGGCGGGTCCATACTAGTGAACAGGAGCAAAACCAACCTAGAGTCTTACAAAAGGTGACACTAGGTTCTTTGAGATCGCTACTAGGAACAAGGACGCTACTAGGGGCTCCTGGCATCGCTACTAGGAACAACGACGCTACTAGGTGCTCAATTAGCGTTTTTTACTGATGTAAGTTGTACTGTAAGGTGTTATCCTTTTATTGGTGCCTACGCCAAGCCTACTTTCTGCCTACGCACACACAGTTTTGGCCTACGCGCAGGTCGAAGTTAGGATAGGTTGCCTACGCGGCCTACGCGCGTGGAGTTTTTGTTAATCACTGAATGGTTGTGCCTACGCGGCTACAGGTTTGGAAGCTTTTTGTTGTTTTCGTCTATTGTTTTGCAAGGCGTTGGGTTCCTTCTTAGCCATGGCGAAAGGCCTACTAATGACAAGGGCAGGCCATATGGACGAGGAAGAGTTCCAAACCTTCACTTAGCCATGTCTGGGGCAAAGTCTTCCCGCACCAGTTTTCGCCTACGCCTACCCTACTTTTTGCCTACGCGGTGCCTATGCCTACTGCATGTTGGTTTTGCTAATATCTTGCCTACTCCTATCCAGGTAGGATTTGAAATATTAAGGCGTCATACTTATTAAACTCTTCCTGTATGAATCTTCTTGACTGGGAAATGCGTCGCCTACGCGGCTTCTTGGACAAAAAAATGAAAAACATGCCTACGCCAGCCTACGCCCCCAAGCAGAATGCCTACATCCAACCATTTACAGGTTAACCCGTATATAAATCTATACATCTACTTTAAAAAACTCTGCTCAATTGTGCTGACCACATCCGATGTTTGAGAGCAGCGCTTGAAACCGGGAAAACGAACAATTGCGGAAACAAACAATCACTGAATCACTGCACCAAAGGTAGCAGGTCATGAAGTCACTTGAAACAGTTGTCCAAACTACGAGCGCTTTGAAATCGCAACATGGGCCGAAATAGCAAGCAATTGGGTTCATTGGTGCTTTCCTTTTAAAATCTTTTAAAGCAGTCCAGGGCTTCGAATGTATGAGTCATGTGTTTACACTCCTTTCAAAGCACTCAGCGCAAGGCCTTAGCAAGGTACCAGTCAACGATCCGCTTTGCAGCTTTATCGCTGTAGATCCACGAACCCCTTGGGTGTTCGAGCATGGTGACTGGTTTCCAAACATTTCTAGATTCTAGGGCTGCAGCCATTACAGGGAGCGAGCGATCCCGACAAGAGGCTATACAGTATATCCCGACAACGAATTCACGAAAAGTAAGCTAATGCAAAGCACTATGTCACTACGCTGACTGCAAATGCGGCAGCAATGCGAAACCTGCCATTGCCCCTCGCCTTTGCTGGGCAGTTTACCCAGCGGCTGCATGCTACCCGGCCACCCAGTCCACTCCATCCTCTGCTTGCACATCCGAATTAAATCCATTGGGATTCGCCAATTGATTCATTCCGAAGCAACAGGCTCCCAGTAATCCATTGCTCTAATTTCGACCAGCCTCTGCCCTTTGGCCACACCAGTAGGCAGCGTCAGTATCCAGGACCCTAGTCACTAGTCTCAGGCTTGTAGCCAGCAACCATTTGCTTTGAACAAGTCACCTTAATCAACACCTATATTGCTTTGCTATGCTTTGCTCATGAAAACCGTTTACAGTCCAGTCACGCCCAGCCCCGTGCGTTCAATTCTCGACTCAGCATCAGCAAGCGATTTCGCGAGAGCAGTGTCTGCCTTGGAACCTCAATGTGGCGAATGGCACCAAACGCAAATATCACACCAAACGAAATTGGAGGCCATCGCTAGTAGGTGCCAAGGATTCCAATTGCTCCTTGAGGGAGTTATGGGGGCCGCTGATGCTGAGCCTCCACGCTCATTCATGGCCTGGCTTGCAGGTCTTCACGACAGCAACCATTCAAGCAGCCCAAACAAGCCATGAGGATGTGGGACGTGGCAGCTTCTTTCCGCTTAATAACTTGAAGGAATTGCAACGATCTGAATCTATACAACAACTACAAGTCTTGTCATTGGAAACATATCCTCCAAGAGCTTCTTCGTACTTGACCGCACGACCTCAAACAATGAAAACAGGCCAGGCTCCGCCTGTAGACATACGTAACTGGAGGTAACTGCTGCGTTGTGACAACTCGTTGGCTGCTGTTTGACGCGGCGTGAGTCACCATGCGACCGGATCCCATGAATGCCTCACAGGTACGGGTGCAAGGAGGGCACAAAAACAAGACCAGCCGATGGACAAGCAACGGTGGGTGGGAGGGTGGGATTTCAGAAACTAAGACGAAGTGGTTTTTTGGTGTAAATGTAAAAGGCACCTGCAGCAAGCAGGCATAGCACCACCTGCCTGCAGTGCTAGTTACAGTATATAGCTATATACGCAGGCCCAGTTTAAAGTGTTTACAGTGGTTCTTGAACACCGCATCCTGGCGGTGTCACACCAAGCAGCATCATGAATATCAACCGAGGAGTACAACAACCCCAGTAATTGTCACCAACTTCTGACTCTGTGCGAGTCTGAGCACAAACACTTCTTTGGATGTGATGTTCCATGATTTTGGCTGTGATTCAGGCTTGGAGCAACAGCGCTCATTGCAGGAACACAAGCAGTAGCAGCACCCCCAGCTGCCTGCGCCCGTCCAGAACCCGAAGAAACCTGGCACGGCTGGTCTGAACTCTGAGAGAAACTCTAAGTTGTTGTGTGAGCTACTGCGGTAGGTGATTCAGGCGAGAACAAATTATATAGGCTCTGGCTGGCGCTAACCCATCAAAAGCTCAGAGGTTAGATTCTTCACCCCCCCAAAAAAGTGCATCAGAAGAAACTCAGATCTGCTCTGCAAACTCACACCTGGTGGCCCAAGGAAGCGGAGTTCTGCCGGCTACCATCAGGCTGTGGCGCAGGCAATGGGCCAGAGAGCTCGCGGCTCTGAGCCATTGCAATCCTGAGAAGGTTTCCAATACAACAGGTTTTCCTGCAGAACCATTTCTGAGTGGTTTAAGGTTGTTTTCCGTCTGCTAAGCCATCATGCATATATCATACATTGCGCATAGAGAGAGAGAGAGAGAGATGTGACTGTCTCTGATTCACCCAAACGACAACAATTCTATTTTTCATCTTTTGAAAGTTCTTCTGCATGCACCAAACCCTTTCCACAGCTCAGGCCAGAACATGCCGGGACTGTAGATCCCTGGCTGCGGAACTTAGTTGTCCATACAGGTGGGCAGTGCTTGACACGAGCATTGCCATTGCGAGTGCAGTGTCTACTTTTGGACTTCATTGGACTTCCTGTGTCCTCCAACTGCAACACATCTGCTCACAAAATTACCACGCTAGGCCGGCTGCTAGCACTTCTGGTGTGGTTTGTCTGTCCTCTAATCAGTTGTTGCATGGATGCAGCCACGGCACCATGGTGTGCCTCTGGTTGTGCCGCTCGTGCCCTCAGCTTGCTTCGACTTTCCTAGCTCTGTTGAAAAACAGACTTTGGTTCACATGCCAAAAAGGCCTGCCTGGCAGTGGTTTTTTGGACTGTTTCCGCCAAACATGAGACATGAGATTGCAATTGCGCGCGCGCACGCGAACACACAGACACAGACACAGACACACACTTAGATGGTTACTCGCAAGAGCTAGAATCAGCTCACGAAGTTCCAGAAATTAGTTACTGACTACCTAGCACTTTAGTTACTGAATGCCTAGCCCTGGACTTGCAAAACGGAATGAATGCTGGGTCGGAGAGAAGAACTGTTTAACAAACGCAGTAGCCCTTTACCATGCTTCCATGCATGAACCACCATGAAAGCAAACCACAGCGAGAACAACAAGTAACTAGTTCTGCAGGTACGTTTGCACGGGTCGCAGGGGAGGTCTTAGTTGGCCACCGCTCCTCTGGGACCCCGGTGGCCCCCTGCTCGCAAACGAGACGTGAAACGCAAAACCTATCGGTTTTTTGAAGCACTCGATGACAAAGGTGAAGATCATGTCTTTTTTTTTGGTCTTCGGCCTGCCAACCCATGTCTTTAGCCAGCTGTTGAGGGTCTTGAGCGATAGGTCGAAGCTCTTTGGCCGTGGCTAGAAGTCCATCCAGGTCGTCCATCAAGGATGGTTTCCTACATACTTGCTTGCTCGACTTTGAGGAAGTCGAAGTTCTCGAAATGGTCGGGTCAGGGGCCCGGTCGACTACCTTTGCCGAGTGTTGTCAACGACCGCCAAAGGTCGGACTGACGCGGAGTTCAGCATCACTAGACAAAGTGTCCGCCGCAACCGCCAGCAGGAGTTGGGAGGCTCGTAGACGGAGCTGCGGTGAACTCCGTTGAGGGGGATTCTGGGGGTGGATCTGGTGGGGCACCTTGAGAGGGCTCTTGAGGAGGGGATGTTGATAAATGGGTAACTGGAGGTGCGGGGTGGGCTGGAGGGGCTTCCTGTGGTGATATCGACTGGCTGGGATGTGAGGGAGGCTGAGCTCACGGCGTCCCGGCGAGCGTCACGTCAAACGGTGTGTGTGTGTGGCACTAGTGATCTATGCATGCAACCCGCCTCGATTACTTAGCCAGTGCGACCTATCCATGAACCTGGCCTGTGAATACTTAGCAGCATGACGTGGACATGTGAATACTTAGCAGCATGCGGAAATCCAAACTGGAATTTGAT